GGCTGGGAAATGGGAAATTTCAATGCAGAGTGCTGGACTGGATGTTAACAATCCTGAACAGCAGGTTCTATGACCCGCGTTGCAGGAGAAGACGGAGAGCCGAGAGCATGAACCAGCTGCTGCAAGTCACCTGCTCGCCAGAGCAAGTCAGGCCTTGAGCCCAGAGGTCTGCCTCCAGGCGGGGATGACAGCCTTGTGCCTCTTCCTCTTGGGGAGCAGGAGAAGGCACTCCTTGTGGGGGGGGGTTGGAAGTTGGGCCCTCCAAGTGTGGGTGGACATACCAGGGCCTCTCTGGCCCTCTGCTCCCAGGCAGAACACAGCGCCTGCCCCAGGACCTTGGCTAAGGACAGTGCCTCCAAAAATGTGGCCCAGAGAACCCCAGGACCGTGAGTGAAGATATAATTTCTCACAGAGGAGAGAGGAGAAAAGAGAATGAAATTCATTATTCCTTTACTGGGCCTGTTGTGAGAAACCGCATTAATAATAATAATGATAATAAATGATTAGTGTTTTCTAAGCCCTTGCTCTGTCCTAGGAACTGTGCACACATTATCTCATTTAATCTTCACAATGACCAGTAACTGTTACTCCACGTTTACAAAACAACGGCGAGAAGCCGCAGTGCCCGCTGCCGGGTGACGAGGGCAGGGCTGCCGGGCCTGGCCACGCTGGGGCACCGGCCACTCTGTCTTTGCAGAGCGGTTGGTTTCTTTATGACGATGCATTTCCGACCACTGGCACTGAAGGGGCTTGGACAGAAATGTCTGAGTCAACCAGTTTGGGGCAGAAAAAGATCTCAGAGCAGGACCAGGATGCAGCGTTCTCTTTGCTTTCAGAGAGCAGGGTGGAGTGGGGGGGGAGAGACAATTCGAGGGACACTGGGTACTAGGGCGCTGTGAAGGCGCTGTAGCCCTAGAGTGAAATGGAAGCCACACACTCATGAACATGCACACACACACACACACACACACACCCCAGATCTCAGCCTGTCATGTGTACCCAGAACTTACTAAAGCAAAGCTGATTTGGGTTTAGAGAGATTTGATTTTATGTAAAACAAATTTCATCAGGATTTTCATATGAAGAGTCTATTTCTCCCCAAATGTACCCTGCTTGGCTGCATGCTAATGTGGTCACATCCAATCTCGAGTTCTCTGCCCCTGGCTGCTGGCCGCAGTTGCCGTCCTGAGTGGCTTCCAGGGCCTGGGCTTCTGTCCCCCGAGCTCAGAGCACAGAGAGAGGCCGGGTGAGCATTGCAGGAAGCGTGAGCGGAAGGAGCGCAGGTCTGAATGAGGAGAGCTGAGCCATCCCCGGTGGGAGCACTGTCTGTGGCATGGCTGGTGGCGGCGTGGGGTCAGCCATCCAGGGGTGGGGCTAGGGTGGAGGCTGGCCCGTAGTTACTCAGAAGTTATGAGGGGGAGCTCAGCCGGGAGAGAGCTGGACCCTCTGCTGAGCTCGTGAAAGTGAGTGAAATGAGGGGTCCCTGGCCCCTCACAAGCCACCTGCCCTAAGACTGCAGGGTGGGCAGCAGTGGGCTCCTGTCACCGTCTGCTCCAGAGTATCTCCAAGGGGGGCCCCTGGAGTGGACAGTGGCATTGCCTGGGAGACCCTCCGCGTGCAGACTGTGGCTTCTGCCCCAGCCCAGGGACCAGGTTCCCTGGGACCAGGGGTCTGACCTGGACTTGCATCCTGGATGTTCCCAAAGCAATGCCATCCCTGGGCCCAGGCAGGGGGCTTCCCGGGCACAGGCAGCGTCTTTCTGGGTCCCAGGGTCTGCCCAGGGCCTGGGTCAGCCAGGAGAACGGATGGGTGTTATGGTGAAAGAGTGCATCGTGTCGGAGTAGGCAGCTTGTCATTGCGTCGCACCCCCCCCCCCATAAATAACCAGATGTGATTTCAGTCTCCTGCAAGCCAGCAGGCAGACACTGGGATCGGTTTTATAGAAACAGAAACTGGGGCTGTTGTTGGCAGGCGGTGGGGATGCTGGGGATGGGGCTCCCGTTGCTGGCCCGGCCCTGCTCATGTCCATGACGCTCACTGCACCTCCCTGTCCTCGCACGCACTCTCTGGGTACTGGGCTGCTCTGGGTCTCCTCGTCCATCCCTACTGGACATGGGATTCCGGCAGCCTGGACCCCCAGGGCCCCGGACCTCAGCCCAGGGAGCCGGAGCTCCTGGCCTCTGCCTGGCTGTGCTGCCGGGGGCCGTGCTGTGAGCCTGCTCTCTCCCTCCCCTGCCCAGCCCTCAGGCCACTGCCCTGGGCTTCTCTCCATCACTGACAGCCACCAGGGGCCAGTCGCAGCTGCCTAGCCCCTGAATACTGAGGCCAGCGGGACCCACTGGCCCTCAGCTGCCACGAATCTTTAGACTCTGGACCGACACCTGGGGCTCCTCCGTGCCCCAGCCCAGGCCCCCCTGCAGGTCTGCCCACAGACTGTTCTAACCCTGCGGAGCCCGGGTGACCAGGTCTGCAGTGAAGGCCCCGGGTGCCCGCCCCTTGGGACCTGTGTGCAGAGCAGCTTCGCTCCTCCAGGCTCCCGGCTCCGTGGGTGGCATTGACCAGTTCCCCCCCAGGCTGCGGGCATCATCCTCACTGCAGCCTGGTCCCACCAGGACATCCCACCAGTTTCCTCGAGTCTCTTCCCACCTTCCTCACTCCATTTTGCTTTACCCGCCTGTGGAAGGGCCGCTGCCCAGACCCGCCACCACTCGGAGTTATTCCTTCCTCCCAGAACCACCACCTCTGCACGTCCGCCGCCGCGTCTCATCCATTCACTCAGAGACTAAGCCACGCTCTGGAGCACCTCCCGCGAGCCGAGCACTGGGAAGGAGCCAGGGGGTGGACGGTCCAGCTCTACCCCTCACTCCCCTCACCGTGCCCATCACCGCCTCCAGCCCTCAGCCTAGAGCAACCGCCGGCGCCTTGCCCTGTCTTGACCCATTGGCTCGCCCTGCCTCCAGCCCTGAGCCCTGGGTCTCTGCCAGTGCTGCCCTCTTCCTAAATGCCCTGCTTTCCATCACAGCGAGGCCATGCCCTGCCCGCCCGCCAGCTCTTGCTCTAGGGCCACCTCCTCCAGCCAGTGCCAGGGACCGAGTTGTCCACTGAACGGTCCCTCTGATCGCCAGTATCGCAGATTTGACCCTGTTTGGAGATGGCATCTGTGAGGAGGTAAGTAAGTTAAATTGGCATCATTAGGGCGGGACCCAATCTAGCCTGACTGGTGTCCTCATACAAAGGAGAAATGTAGACAGTTACAAGGGAAAGACCGTGTGAGGACACGGAAAAGACAGCCATCTACAGCCAAGGAGGGACAAAGACACTGCTGACACCATCACCTCAGCCGCCTGGCCTCCAGAGCTACGAGAGCTGGTGTCATCTCCCAGGCGGGGATCTCACCTTCCCCAGGGCGTGAATGTCTCCCCTACAGCTCTTCCCCTCAAGTCACCCTTGTTTGCAGCAAGACCCGACGCTGCTCCCCCCCCCCCCACACCATGATATTGGGAAGCCAAGGCCAGTGCTCGGAAAGGCTTGTTGAGTGAAATGCCCAAGAGAGCCTCTGGGCCAGCGCACCGTCCACGTGGGCCAGCGCTGTGGCTCGCGTTTGGAGCATGACAGCAGCCAGCCTTGGGTTTACGACCCTGGTTCTGGGCCTTCCCGGGGAGGGGTGCTCTCTGCTCCTCAGTTTGGGGCCGTCCGGTGCAGCCTAGACAGACGAGGAGGCTGAAAGGCGTGTGAGCTAACCGCGCCTGCAGACAGTGCGGGGCGGCCGATCCTCGGCCGGGTCAGCCCTCTCCTCCGAGGGGCAGTGCCCTGACCCGGAGCTGTGTCTCCTCCACCACCTTCTCTTTGCAGGTACTTCCAGGTTTACAGACAGGTCGGTTTTCTAACCGCCCTCGTCACTGTTCTGGACGTAGCTATGCACCACTTCTACTTCCTCATTTATCTCTAAATTGACTCACTGCCCCTGGAGCCATCAGACACCAGGCCCCTTTCCTGCCACCCCAGGCCTGAGCTAGATTGGCGGGGTCTCGGGCTGTGCGCAGGTTATAGGAACCTGGGAGGGGAGATGGCGCTAAGGAGCTCGGCGCCCTCGTCCCTGTGCACCGCCTGAGCTGGGCGTCCTCGAGGGGCAGGTGCGTGTCCCTCAGGAGTTCTGAAGGCTGCTGGGAGCGGACAATCGCATGAGGGGAGGCCCTCCAAGCCCAATGACAGCCCACGGTGACCCAGCACAAAGGGACTGGAACTCCTCGGAGGGCCCTGTGCTCAGTGGAGAGCAGGGGTCACCTGGCATCCAAGTTTTCCCAGGAGCAGCTCCAGCTCTAATTGCCATGTGGACCGTGGCCCTTGGCCTCCACAGAAGGACAGGCCCTGGGAAGAGCCTGCCACGCCAGGGCGTGGCCGGGACCCCCACTGCTGGGAGTGCAGAGCCGAGCGGGCAGGCCTAGGCGGGCTGGCCCTGCAGGCGGACTGCCCTGTGCCTGCACTGGGCAGCCTCAGGTCCGAGGCCTGTGCCTCAGCCACAGAAGCCTCTTGAGTGAGGCCCCTCACTCCCCGCGAGGCCCGGCAGGGCAGGCAAGACCACTGGAGGGGCTGACAAAGGAGGCAGGAGGGCGGCTTCCTAAGGAGAGAGATGCAAAGGCTGCCTGGAGAGGGTGGCGACGTCACACTCAGGAGCGCTTACACTCAGAAAATAGTCATTTTAATAAAATAAAGACAATACAGTATTTCCCACTAGTTTTCAGTAAGCAACCCCATTTTTTTCAGTGCAACAAGCTCTTTGAAAGGTGATCCTATGTGATTGGTGAGCAGGTGTGTCAGGGTCCCGGCTGCCAGCATGCTGTTCACAGGAGCCCCGAGCTCCTACCCGTCTGTAAAAGCCCACGATGGTGCAGGGCAAGGCCGAGGTCCCGGGACCCGAGGAGAGGGGAGGCGTCCAGGCACAGCTTCATTCCTGCAGCTGCCACGGCTGCTGCGCCCAGGCCGCCGCCATCTCTTCCTTCCTACCCCTCTGCCGACCAGCAAAATATTCTCCCCTTCTCATCACCTACCAGGAGCTTGGGCTGGTTTCTTGGGAAGAGAAAGAAGAGACAGACGTGTGAGAGGAAGCTTATCCCAGCCGCAGCCAGGAAATGGCCAGCATGGAGGTTGCAGTCCCGCACCGCGAGCCTGCCCCTGCCTCCGGCTTCCCCAGGTGCTTCCGGTGCTGAGATGCAGCGGGGCCCTGTGGCCTCTGACATGTGGCTATTCTGCATTGGGTCACAGCCCTCCCGGCATTAATAGGATAAACACTGCAATCGGCAGTGGCCTCAGGAAAAGGCCCTCTTTAGGATAAAATCACAAAGCAATTTACTTTCACCTTTTGGATTTCTTTGTGGATTCATGGGTATTCCATGAGAGTGAGCAGGGACATGTATGTGCTAAAATACATTTCCTGGGGCCCCGCATGGCCACCTGACCTGAGTCCTGTGCTCGGTGGGCCCTCCACAGTGAGGCTGCCTGAGGCAGGCCCAGACTTTCCCCGGGGTGGCCACAGCGCCCTCTGCTGGAGGCCTTCAGAAGCCAAGCTGTGGTTACCTGGACATGGCCAGAGCCGTCACTGCAGGGCTGGTCTTGCTGGGCTTCCCTGTCAAAGCAACACTGATGTCCAGCTCTCTGCACAGGGCAAGATTCTTCTCACACCTGTGACCTGTGGGGAGCGTGCGAGAGCCAGTTAGCAAGCCCAAGTGGCTTCACACACATGCACGTGTGCACCCACACGAGGGACACACACACACACACACACACACACACATATTTATATTTGTGGTCAGCAACTTGCTAAATTGAGGGGAAAATATATTTAATCTTGGCCTGTGCTGTTGCAAAAAGGGCCGTCCCAATTTAATTTGCCGGCTGTGACAGTTACATGTGCTGACGTGCCGCGTATCCGTGGTGGACCAAATTGGATTTGTGTATTATTGCTTTCTAAATTGCATGCCTAGTTCAGCAAAATTGTTCATCAGTGTTTACTGGCTTTATGCTTAATAAGATGCCCCACAATACCTTGCTGCCAGGATGTAATGCAGCCCTTAATTGCCTAGTAAAAATAAATTATATAAAGTTGGCTTTATCAACTTATCTAAATCCTCTCACACCACAACCAATAATTAAATGCTGAGAATGTTTTTTCAAAAAATATAACTCAATGATTGTTACTTCGCTCATTTTAATGACCGCATTTGGGGGCAGACAGTAATTCCTTCAGTGCGGAGGCGAGATGGAGAGACCTCAGCTGCGTCTGCCCCTGTGAAGCCACTTGGCTGGCGTCTGGGCGGGAATGAGGCAGCTGCCCGCTGCCCCAGGTGGCTGCTGGGTGTGCAGGCAGCCTGTGCACCAGGACACGCGTGTGCATGTGTGCTGCGGACAAGCCTGAGCAGCCAGCTGCCCCGAGCACTTTTACATTCCAGACTGAGTCCAACTCTCTGAGGGGCTCAACTGGCAGGTCCTGCTGCAACTGACAAGTAAACGGATTCCAGAAGGAAGTTAGAGAACATGCGCACAGGTGCCGTGCCCTCGTGTCGTGTCTTCAAGGCTTTCCTCCTGCCCCTGTGGCACCTGAGGACACGGGACACGTATGCACACATGCATGCGTCATGCCCAATCCTGGCCTCTTTCTGACAAATAGTTTGGAGCAATATCATGAGCACCCGACCTGCACTGGCTGGGGCTGGTGAGTCTGCACCTGCATCTGCTAGCGCTAAGCGGGGCTCAGCGTGGAGGATAAGGCCGGTGCCTGTGCTCATGGCAGAGAAGACAGGCTGGCGGTGGGGACCGTGGCTCCCTGGCATTAGCTGTGATGGAGGTTGCCCGGCAGTGGTCACATCTGCCCTGGTGGCAGGAGTGAGAAGGAAGTGGCCATGTGCTTCTGGGTGACTTTGGGTGAGTTACTGGACCTCTCTGTGCCTCAGTTTCCTCCTTTCTTGCCGCTGTCATGGAGACGGCTACTGCACAGGGCTGCCACGAGGACTGAGAATGCACGGACCGTGTGCCCCGTGCAGCTGCTCGCGTCCGCTCTCCCTCAGGCGCGGCAATGACGCCGTGGTGGCAGCAGGGGGACACATTTTCTACCCCAACCCCAAGAGGCTCTGCTCCGAGCAGCGGTTCTCATCCTGGGGTGCGTGCCAAGAGCCACCTGGGCACTTGACAGACACAAAATCCTAACAGCCCCAACCTTTTCCTGGGGGCTGGGCTGGGCACAGGACCTGGCTCTGCATTTAATAAACGCCCTGGGCGATGCCAATGCCGATGATCCTCACAGCTGGTTTGAGGAACTCCTGTGGGGAGCTGGGTGGGGTGAACCTGGATGAACAGGGCTGGCTGCGGCCTATGACCTTCCTCTCCCTGGAATACAGCGTGACCCCTCCTTGCTCCTGCCTGGAGCCTGGCTCTCCAGCTGGACCAGGCCCTGGCTGGGGAGTTGGACATTGCGGAGCCATCCAGGTAGCTGGAGAAAGAGTCAAGCGCTGCAAGGTGTGGCCCTTCCAGATGCTCAGGAGGCCCCGACAACCCCCCTCCCCTCCCCGTTCACACAGCCAAGCCACGCGCCAGAGCTCAGGGTCCCTGCAGGCTGAGGCCAAGGCCGCCACTTGGCAGAGCTTCTCCAAGCTGTTGCCCACCCCACAGCCTCCGGCAGGAAACTGTGCTCCTGCCTCCCCAGCACCTCGCAGGTCTGGAGAGACCCAGTGGCTTCCCTGGGCTCCATGACAGCTGCAAGAAAGGAGGACAGGCTCAGCAGCCAGTTTGTAACCAAGTTACTTAGCTAATGCCCTCTCACCCCTGAACAACAGACATCTCCATGACAGCTGCAAGAAGGAGGAAACTGAGGCACAGAGAGGTCCAGTAACTCGCCCAGTCACCCAGAAGCGCATGACCACTTCCTTCTCACTCAGCTGCAGCCCTGGGGCTGAGGAGGGGGCAGGAGAGGGGGGCTGAGCCAGCAAAGGCGCCTTGCTGGCTGCACCCCTGGCGGGGCACTCACCTTTCGGGCTGGTGGGCGGAGCCGAGGGCTCCTCCGGTGTCACCTGCCCAGGAACAGACCCCTTCATGTCCTCGGTCTTCCAAATCTGCCAAAAGGAAAAATCGCTATGGGTGGGGGAAGTGGTCCTTCTGCAGGCTCAGGGCCCATCCCATTCCGTCACAGCAGGAAGCGGGGGCCCTCCGGGGAGGGGGAGGCAGGGTGCCTTGTTGCTGCCGATGTTCATGAATTCTTGGGGAAAAGGTTGCATAGGCTCCAGCTTCCCTGTGCAAAGTGTTAGCCAAGCTGCAGTTCGGATGGTTCCCTCTCCACCCCTGTGTGTTCATAGTGCATCTCCCTCACCCCTGACCCGCAAGGACAAGGCTCAGCAGCCAGTTTATAACCAAGTAACTTAGTTAATGCCCTCTTGTCCCTCTGCCACCCCACTGGGGCCCCCTTCACCACTCAGCAGCTGGGCCTCCATCCTCTGACCCTGGTCCGAGCCATGCTGTCAGTACCCTCAGGCTGACCACACAGGGCTTGCACTTGCCGAGTCTGGACTTTTGTCACCAAAGGCCAAGGACTAGCCTCCACTTCCATGCTTAGATGCTTCTGTGAGCTCTGGGCTATGCAGGAGCTCAGTTCCCAAGCTGAGCGATGGGCGGCGGGGGGTGGGGGGGTGGGGGGGGATGAAGAAATGCACCTGATGCTCAGCCAGCCCGCTCCTCTGGCCGACCATGTGGACCATGTGCCACCGAGCCCGGACCTGTGGCCTCCTCACCCTGCAGCCAGCTCCGGACACCCTGCTCTCTGCAAAGACCCTGCGCCCCTCAGCACAGATGGGACCTGTAAGGGGACTCCTCAGCCTCATCTTTCCTGTCCGGGCAGCTGGCCCCCACCTGTGTGGCCTCCTCCCGACCCTCTGACTCTCCCTTGTCCTTGGAAATCAGTTGAAACGCCACCTCCTCTGATGGAAATAAATGGACTCTCCTCTCAGAATATCCACCATGTTAGCCGTTCTGCTTCCTGAAGCATCATCTCCATGATGATTCTGAGACTGAGTGTAGAGGCCTCTGAGGGCAAGACTAAAAGAGCGAGCTTTCCTAAATGCTTACAGAATTCAATGGGCATTTTCTTGAATACCTTGTAGTATTCAATTAACATTTCCTTTCATAAATGTAGAATTTAATTGACAGTTTTTTAAATGTGCCTCTTAATTGTTTTTTATCTTTACTCATTCCTTTATCCTTCCTGTCAGTCACAGAAAAATCACCTGTATTTTGTTTATCCCATCCTGTTCTTTCCACCTCAATGTTTCTCTCTCCTTCCCTTCTTGGTTTCTTGATGCTCCCCCTCTCCGCGGCCCCCCTCAGAGGATCCACAGCACATTTCTTTTTTTTTTTTTTTTTTTTTTTTTTTTTTTTTTAATATTTTTTTTTTTATTTTTTACAGAGAGGAAGGGAGAGAGATAGAGAGTTAGAAACATCGATGAGAGAGAAACATCGATCAGCTGCCTCCAGCACACCCCCTACTGGGGATGCGCCCGCAACCCAGGTACATGCCCTTGACCGGAATCGAACCTGGGACCTTTCAGTCCGCAGGCTGACGCTCTATCCACTGAGCCAAACCGGTTTCGGCCACAGCACATTTCAATGATCCCAATGATAGCACAAACCACATGAGTATATTTTCTGCTTGTCCCCTCTTCTGGAATATGAGTATCTGAGGACAATGACCTGTTTATCATCACTGTCTGTGTGCCCTATATAAAGTGACTGGCACAGAGCCAGAGTTCAATGACTGTTACATGGATGGTTGGGTGGATGTATGTATGTATGTATGGATGGATGGATAGATGAGTAGTTGGACAAACCATTGGGTAGCTGAATAGATTCATAGATATATGGATGAAAGGGTAGATGGGAGGATAGCTATATGGATGGAAAGAAGGAAGGAAGGAAGGAAGGAAGGAAGGAAGGAAGGAAGGAAGGAAGGAAGGAAGGAAGGAAGGAAGGGGAGAGATAAATAGTTGGGTAGATGGGTGGATCTTTTATTGGATGGATGGATAGATGGGTGGATGAATGGATGGATAGATAGATGGGTAGGTAGAGATATAAATAGTTGGATGGGTAGATGAATGGGCAAGTGGGTGAATAGATTAATGAATGGTACAAATATCTCTTTTTAGCACTGGGCTATGTTCTTATGCATTTGGCCATTCAACTTTCATACTTTGTGATAAATGTTTATTTCATTATGTGAGGGTATGTCTGTATAAATTGTACACACATATTGGAAAGAGCCTTGTCTTTGCCTTGTCTAGGAGGTGGCCCTAGAGCAAGAGCCTTGTCACTTGCTACAGGGACCTGGTCTGGAATGGTCTCATGCAGCCTGCAGGTTCAGACCGTTGGAGGAAGGGAGCAGAATAAAGATGAACACATTCTTGTACCGCGCCCTCCTCCCACCCCAGACACACCTACCCGGACCATGCCGTCGCGACTTCCAGTGATGATGGCGTGGCTTGCGTCCCATGCTGGCCCCTCCACTGTGCAGCAGCAGGTTATGGCTCCTTCTGGGCCCCAGGCTGTGGTGATGCTGGCCAGGGGCTGTCCGTTGACATTCCACAGGGACAGATGGGCTCCAGCACAGGAGACAACGATGCCCTGCACAGGGAGACCTGGCTTCACTCCAAGCGGGGTCACTGCCTGCCCCCCAGCCTCCTGCTCAGCCACTTGCTCAGGCTCTCAGTCTGTGCACCAAGCACTCTCAACCTGCCATCTTCTGAAGACTAAGCAGGTGCTCCCAGACCTCCTGAGACACCCCTTCTTCTCGCTGACTTGGGTCTGCACTGCGTTCTCGCGCAGCTGTGAGGTCCCAGCTTCTTACACCTCTGCTTGCTTGGACACTGCTTCCCCTGCACAAGCTGGGGGCTTGCCCTTTAGACTCCTCACAGCTCTCTCCCTGGCAGTATACTGATGAGAAGGGGTGTACACAGAGCCTGCACCTGGCCGGCCACCCCTGTCCCTAAGAAGTTTTGGACATTACGGGGTAGAGGGCAGAGTACAGAGGCTCAAATGGCTACATGTGGCTCATAAGATTGAACAACGTCCCTCTGGAGGGAATGTCTGAGGAGGAATTTTCCCGCTGCATCTTCTAAATGTTTATATCCAGAGTGTTTGCCCCTCAAGTCCTTGTCTAGTTTTGTGTCCAGTGGATTAGTGGCCACGGTCACAGGGATGAGTACTGCCAGGCCTTTGAACCTTGCATTACCGACAGAAGGGAGGTCAGGAGCTCTGTGTCCTCCCCCACCTCCCGAGCTGGGCTCCCCCATGTCCCTGCCTGAGGCCAGAGACCATGGCTGCCCAGCATTGAGCACTGGGACCAGCAGGTACTTAGTAAACTAGGTTGGCTCCTGGACAAGTTGAGTTCAACAAGTTGTTGTCCCGATATAAGTCTTCTCTGAGGTCTGGGGACATCATTCATTCTAGGCTTTACATTCTTGCAGATCAGAGTTTGGTGCCTTCCTGATACACCTACTCATTCATCTGTTCACCTTCCATTTTTCCATCCACCATCCACTCACTAGTTCACCCAAATATCCAGCCACCCACATACCTATGTATCCATCTAACTATCCCTCTGCCATCCATCTACCCATGCATCCCTCAATCTGCCCATCCATCCATCCATCCATCCATCAAACCATCCATCCATCCACCTTTCTATCCATCATTCTCCATCGATCTACTCATCTATCCACCCTCCATCTGCCCACATAACATTCATTTTGGATTCAAGTCCACCCGGGCACCATTTTCAGCCAAAGTTGGCAGTAGGAAGCCCTTCCATCATCTCCTCTCCTCCCATGCTCCCCTTTCCTGCTGTGCCCCTGTCCGGGAGCCCTGGGGTTTTCTACGAGCTGATGTGGGCCTCAGCATCCTCAGATAAGTCTATGCCCCATGATGGGGATTCTAGCCTGGGAGAAACTCCACACTGAGATTTCTCTCTCTCTCTCTCTCTCTCTCTCTCTCTCTCTCTCTCTCTCACACACACACACACACACTTTCCCCATAGGCAGCCAGCATGGAGAGACAACAGCACTTCCTGCCATGGAGACCAGAGGCACCTGCTGAGTCACCACTGATTTGCAGGCAACAAGCTGAATTAGTAAGTTCAGCAGTCTCCTCACCAAAGCCAACCTCTTGCCACACTCCATGGTCCCCCTGCCAGAACAGAGACCTCCCACTGCCCCTGCTATCCCAAGGGAGAAGAGAAGGAAGCACAGAATGAAACCTAGACCCCGTGCTGCACATGCTAATGGCTCCATCCTGTCTGTGTAGAGAATGCTCCGCACATCTGGAGCACTATCAACTTCCGGGTGCTCAGCCCCTGGGTTTCTCGAGGGCACCACTTACCATGCAAACAGCCGGGCTCACAGACATGTCAAGGACACAGATGTTGAGAAAGGGGGCCTCACCGAGATGTCGCTGATGGCCACGGCAGATATGGCCTCCTGGTGGGCGGGCAGGCGGGCCACGTGGGTGAGGTAGTCCAGGTCCCACAGGATGCAGGTGCAGTCCTGGGAGCCGCTCACCAGGATGCTGAAGGTGGCTGATGCTGCCAGGCAGGTGACAGCCTGGGTGTGTCCGTACAAGGCCTGGGACAAGAGACAGGACCACAGGTTAGGGGCGGGACCAGCAATCCAGCTGCTTGGTGAGATGCTCTACCCTTCCTTTTACTGTCTGGCCCCACATGAGGGAACAGAGGTGGAGTGATTCAGTGATTCCAGAGCCTGCGGGGTATGTGAGTGTGTGGGTGTGTGTGAATGTGTGTGAGTGTGAAAGTGTGTGTGTGAACGTGTGTGAGTATATTAGTGTGTGTGGCTATGTTTGTGTACGAGAGTGTGTGAGGGTGACAGTGTGTGTGGCTATGTGCATGTATGAGAGCATGTGACGGTGAGAGTGTGTGTGTGTCTGATTATGTGAGTATATGTGAGTGTGTGTGTGTGTGTCTGAGTATGTGTGTGTATGTGAGAATGTATGAGTGTGAGTGAGGGTGTGTGTAACTATGTGTGTGAATATCAGAGTGTGTGACTCTGAGAGTGTGTGTATGTGTATGTTATGTGTGTGACTCTAAGAGTGTGTGTATGAGTGTGTATGTATGTGTGTG